GGGAGGGTGAGGCCTTCCATAGGGAGTCTTCAGAGTCTGTCATATTCTTTGGGATAGTGCTTAGGCCCTCCCTCATGTGTCTAGGCTGAGTGGGCTCCTATGCTAGGTATAAGTACTGATCGACTACAAGAGGCCCCATAGATTTCTGAGGCCTCCTCACTGACACCCACATTCATGGGGTCTGGATCAGTTCCATGCTGGTTCCCAGCAATCAATCTGGGGAACAAGAGCTTCCCCTTGTTCAGGTCAGCTGTTTCTGTGGGTTTCACCAGCCTGGTCTTGACACCTTTGCTCATTCCTCCTCCTTCCTCTGCAACTGGATTCCAGTTCAGTTCAGTGTTTAGCTGTGGGTATCTGATTCTACTTCCATTAGCTGCTGGATGAAGGCTCTAGGATGGCATATAAGGTAGTCATCAATCTCATTATCAGGGGAGGGCATTTAAGGTAGCCTCTCCACTGTTGTTTAGATTGTTAGTTGGTGTCATCCTTGTAGATTTCTGGACATTTCCCTAGTGCCTGATTCTCTTTAAACCTATACTGGCTCCCTCTTGTATGGTAGCTCTTTTTGCTCTTCGCTATTCTTCCCCCTACACAACCTTCCTGCTCCCTTATGTCCTCCTCACCCCTCCTCTTCTCCCCTTTTCATTCTCCTTTACTAATAACATTATATACCTCATAAACCATGTGTAGATATTTAATAAGAATGATATAAAATTTTCAGGATGATATTTACTAACTACAAATAATATGTGAATACAGTTAATATTAGCTACAGTGCCTGGTTGCTCATTAAAATCTCACACATATAGCTGATTAGAAATTTTCTTCTTATTGCAAAATATCCACGTGGGCTTTTCTCACTCATGGTCTATATTGCTCCAAGGGAAAGGAACTCTGCATTTTTATCTTTAGTAGCTGGCCTCCAAAATTGCCGGAAGGGTGATCATAATAGCCCAAGTGGAGAGACCCGCACATTGCACTTTGTCATGTCTGTAAATCAACCAAGTCATCTCCAGGTGAGGCTGGCAAACCCCCACATTCAGTTAGGCTGTCTGGGAAACAAGTTCCAGTAATGCCCCCCCCCCCCCCCCGCCAGTCTCCTCTTCAGTGCCGGTATTACTGTTGCCTGCCTCTTTTCCTCACTTTCGCATAGAATCTCGGGGTGAAACTCAGGTCCTTCAGCTCCTGCAACCACCCCATAAACAGCAGGCCTGTGGTGACATTTAGGGGAAGGCAGGCTTGGCTTAACTCAGTCCTTTAATTAGAGCTGATTGGAAAATATTTTGTATTTATCCTGGTTTCATCTTTCTTTCTAGTCTCCTTTGAGCAGTCTGGTTTTGTTTTGCTTTAAAGTTGGTAAATGCAAAACAGTGAATCATGAGTCGAGTGGAGTCTTTCCCTAATTATTTTAGGGACTTTCTAGACAGCATGGGTTTTCTGTCATGGGTGCTGATGACTAAACAACTTAAGATTTTTAAAAAGACAAATGCCTTCCTACTCACTTTATATTTCTCGTTCAAAACATTTGCTGCTTTGCTGAGAAAAGGCATTGCTGCTTTGGGCCACAGAAGGACACTGTGATCAGCACCGAGTATATGTGGCACCGAGTCCCACAGATTCAAATAGATCTGGGAGAAGGATGCTGCCTGTAAGTACTGCTGTGGTGACATCAAGGCTCACTGGGGTTACCTCAGTCTGTAGTGGTATTTGCATAAAAAAGCAGTGTTTCCACATGTTTGCATGTGAACAGACTTACCATCATGGTGCAGTTTACCACCTCTAGTCTGTTGTTCTGTTTGAGTCAGTAGCATTGGAGAAACAGACTAACATATAGGGTCTACAAATTTGTAATATTTTTCAAGTCATTATAAAAATAAGTCATAAATATTACAAATTTAGTGGCCACAGATAAAATTAATACTGTTTCAAGGAAGTGCCAATATGTTAGTGGTAACATCATACAAATACCCATTTGTAATGACAAGATTGTCTCATCAGTAACTGCTCAGTGTCCACGCTGAGATGCCTATATCAATTGGTGTTTGCATGCTACCATTGAGAAGAGAATTACACACCAAGTCAATAAGGACATATTTCAAAATATGTTTGTATGAAAACATCACAATACAAACCATTTTATATATCATTAATAAAAGTAAATACAAGTAGAAATTTGCTATATATCCTAAAGAAGTTATTAATATGAGAAGAGATAAAAATGATTTTCATAGGTTAAAATACTTCTAAGACCCATCATATACTTTCTGAGTGAATGGCATCTCTTGTGTGTCAGCAGTCAGACTTTGACTCTTTTTTTTAAGATGCTCACAATTACATGCTGCTCTTTATCTTTTTTTGTGGAGTGGGCTCCCAAAGTCCATTTGTATGCTAGGATCCACTACCAGAGGCCCCACAGGTGCCCAAGGCCTCCTCACTGACCCCCACATTCATGGGGTCTGCATCAGTTCTATGCTGGTTTCCCAGCTATCAGTCTGGGGTCCATGAGCTTCCCCTTGTTCAGGTCAGCTGCTTCTATGGGTTTCTCCAGCCTGATCTTGACCCCTTTGCTCATCACTCCTCCCTCACAGCAACTGGATTCCAGGAGATCGGCTCAGTGTTTAGCTGTGGGTACCTGCTTCTTCCATCAGCTACTGGATGAAGGTTCTAGGATGGCATATAAGGTAGTCATCAATCTCATTATCAGGGAAGGGCATTTAAGGTAGCCTCTCCACTATTGCTTAGATTGTTAGTTGGGGTCCTCCTTACAGATCTCTGGACATATAGACATTCAAGTTATATTTAATTTTTCACATTTTCTTGAGAATCTTTTTTAAAATAAAATTATGTGTGGGTACTACATTACAATCATTCCCAGCCTTTCTTGTTGCCTTTTCCCTCTCATTTTTTCTTTAAAAACTGCTTATACACACACGTACACACACACACACACACACACACACACACACACACACACACACACACACACTGTATAACATGCTTAGATGATTTAAGGTTGCTCATACGTATATGTTTTTAGTGCAGATAACTGGTATTAGATAACCAATTAGGAGCCTAGATTTGAAGAAAACTGAGTCTCAGCAGTCAATAATTTCCTGTAGGTCTTCATCTAGGGTTTATCCTTATGATATTTATCTAGTCCACATTGGAATATCAACCTGGTATTGCCAATTTTTAGTTAGTCTTTATGTAGCCATAGGGTTAAGAGTCTGTGAGTGCAGCTTCCATATTATATGCAGATCTCACAGGTTATGTTGTGGTTTTCTGGCTCTTGCAATATTTCTACCTGTTCTTCTTTGGTTTTCCCCTTAGTCTTAGATCCTGGATTTCTTCTTCTTCATTAAGGTGTTTTGTGAAAGTATTTTATGACAGCAACATGAAGGAAACTTGCTATTATGAATGTCTTCTAAATTATGTTTACTGTACTAATGCGCTGAGATAGTAGAAAAGTTGATGTTTGTTTACCTTTATAGGAGATGAAGCTATAATACAGACAGTCAGCTATTTTGGTAGCTTCATTATTAGCTCCCAGTTCTTAAAAACTGTCAATCTACCTAAAATTAATATTTCTTTTACCATTCTATTCTTTTTCTAATTTTAGAAGTATAACAACATAGATCACAAATCTTCACAGAACTGAATATTTGATGAGAATGCATTGCAGATAAATGAAAATAAAAAATATCTCTTCTGGTGAAATGTGTATTGACCAACCTAAGGTTTTTCCAGTGGTCATTGTTGCTTGGGGTGCATGTTGTTCTCAGAGACTTGATCTCTCATCCAGAGCTTTGATCTTCTTGGTTGAGTAGTATGTTTTTATGCATTATGTCCTCATTACAGAAAACACTCTTGCACATCAGAAAAGCAGCCCAGTGACAAGTCCGCCTTTCTTTTGGTGATTGTTCCATATGGCTGGGACTGAAAAGACTCAAATGTGTTCCTCATTGCATGCACATTTCACAGTAAAACTGCCACTAGCTGACATTCTGATTTTAAAGATATTAGATTTTTATGTGTCCTAATTTTTATCTAATGTTCACACTGAAATGTTCTTGTGTTTATATAATTTACTGTGTCTAGTTAAGCAAAAGAGAGCTGTATTGGCCACATCAGAAGGGCTGGTCCTACCTATCTTGACCATCATAGTAGAGGTTTATTTAAAGCTTTGTTTCCTTTTGTGTTGCCTATGGCTGTAAAAAGGCATGAACATTAATCATGACATTGACTAATGGCTTTGCCTGCTTCATGATGTGGAGTAGCCATCATGACTGTATCATTTGATAGAACTTTTATCTGGACTGGTTGCCTTAATAATTGAAAGAAAAACTTTGTCTTAGCATGATATGTGCAAATTAAAACAGATTACAAAACTCTCCCTTTTAGGAAGCTGATAAGTTCCTTGTTCAATAGTTACAAAATAGAAGAAGAAAGATAAGGAGGAGGAGGAGGAGGAGGAGGAGGAGGAGGAGAAGACGAAGAAGAAGAAGAAGAAGAAGAAGAAGAAGAAGAAGAAGAAGAAGAAGAAGAAGAAGAAGAAGAAGAAGAAATAACAACAGTGATTGACATATTGTAGAACACCTGAATTTATTCCTCCCTGATTTCTCTCTGGCACAGAATAAAGGTTCTGGTGTCTATAGGGGTTAACAAGTTGTTTGAAAGACATTAAAAGATTTATCAACAAATTAAGCAGTTCTCTGTATATAGTGGTAAATGATAAATGACAACTGAGGTATATGTTCAAATTAAAGTATTTAAAAAGGAGTTAGGCCTGGAGCTATGGCCTAGCAGTTAAGGGCACTTATTCTTGTAGAGGTTCTCTAAGTTCAGCTCCCAGAACTCAGATTGGACAACTCACAACTGCCTGTAACAATAGTTCTAAATGATCCAACACCTTTTCCTGGTCTTAGTGGATAGTTAGAAATCATGAGCCAACTCTAGGAAGTCTTCCAGAGTGGTTTCATAGGTTTTCTTTTGTGTTTCAGGTAACAACACTTGTCAATACAAGCAACAAAGGTCCATCAGGTAAAAAGAAAGGAAGGTCAAAGAAAGCCCATGTGCTGGCTGCATCCGTAGAACAAGCTACTCAGAACTTCCTGGAAAAGGGTGAACAGATTGCTAAGGAGAGTCAAGACCTCAAAGAAGAGTTGGTGGCAGCTGTGGAGGATGTACGGAAGCAAGGTAGGTGAAATAGCATGATGCTGATGCTGAGGGTTGCTGCATGAATGAGATAATATTCTTTAGACTCAAAGGAATTGTTTACCTTGTTTGCTCTCTGCACATGATGTTTGCAATATTTGCATACTTATTTTGATGTTAAAGTGTGGGCATGGCTTCAAACCCCATGCTTTTGCCGTTACTTAAAAATCTTCCTATTGCTTGCCCTTGGTGAATGAAAACAAATTCTCCTATCTAACTCATATCTTGGTATGAAGTTGGAAGATACGGTCTTTGTAAAATGGCCCAAAACCCAGTATTTTAAGGAGGATGGAAAGCAGGATGCAAAACCAGGTAGAAAAAAATGTTCCATGTGATTCTCTAATAATCTTTTTAGTCCACAGCTTTTCTCACACATCTATATAGTTAACATAGAGTTTATTTGGCATTTGAACATTTTTTCATTAGAAATAAAATACAAGTAACATAAAATTAACATCAAATTGTTTTTAAGGTTCATGTACAGTTTAGTGTTGGTAAGCCTAGGCACATCTTTGAGAAACTTATTACTAGACCTTTTTCATCTTAGAAAAGTAAAACTGTATGCATTCATTCAACTATTCATATGCTCTTATCAAAGTCTCTGTGACACACTCTTCATCTATTTGACAACTGTTGATATTTCATAGAAGTGGGATCCTGTGGTATGTCTTTTTCTGACTGGATTATTTCATTAAGTACAATGTCTTCAAAAACCATACACTCTTAAGTAGACCACTATTTTGCTCTTGTGAACAAAATTATTATTTTATTATACTTAAATAAGTAAGCACATATATGATGGTTAGGTTTAATTGTCATTTTGAAACAACTTAAAATCACCCAGACAAAGAGACTTAAGAGATTGCATATATTTGATGCTCTGTAGGGGATCACCTTAACTAAATTAATGGGTGTGGACAGGCCAAGCCTTCTGGGGGCAACAACATTCCCTAGGCAGGGCATCCTGAACTATACCAAAAATAGAAATGACATTCTATCTTACCATAATGTCAATTAATAGTTCAGAAGCATATGCCGAAATATTTGTTGAACACTGATGTGTAATATCTAAAGGAATGTTTCATTAAATACTTAATGAATGAATGGTCCATTTATATTCTTTGTGCTATCTTACTGTCTTTTGCAGTTAATGGATGGATGTTTAGCATCTTAAATTAAAACCCTTTCACACAAACACAAATTTTCTCCATTTCTTGTGAATATGGCATACAGATGTGTGTACACATTCTTTGCCGCTGTGTGGGCACACGTGCACTTCATACCTATGTTTTGGGGGCACAAATTTGATGTGGGAATCATCCTGTATTGATTTTTCCAATTTCCCAATGAGACAGGATCTCTCAATGAAACTTGGCCTGTGTTGATATAACCAGCCTTTCTTATCAGCTTACTCTGTGGAACCCTTGTCTCCAAATTCTAAGGCTGTAATTACAGACAGGCTACCACACTCATCCAAAATTTACCTGGGTTTCTGGAGATTATAATTCTAGTCCTCACAATTTTGTGGTAAGAGCTATAACCGCTACAGTGTCTTCCAAGTTCCTGACCAATGCCACCATTCTATTGCCTTCCTCCTAAAAGTTAACTTCATGTTTATGACACTGACCCAAATTGTTACTTCTACTGGACATATGTATTGTTCCATATTTCACCTTATGTGAAGAGAGCATGAGTGTATATGTGTCCCGAAAGTATGAATGCCTCCATGTCTAAAACCACACTAGGAAGCTGGTGTTTTTCTGGAAGTATGGTCAGACACCCGCTTGCCTTCATGCATCTGTGCTCTAGATAATTACTATTTGCTGTTGATTTCTTATGTATACTAATGTGCACAAGTAAAAAATGCAAGGTGTGCTCAGTTTGACAACTGTTTGCAACTGTGAAGTACTCAGTGTTCTCAAGGTTCTACACATATTTACAGTGAAGAGTTTTGGTCTCTCTACCTCCTTAAGCATCTGTCTTTTTTACTAATAAATTTTCCTGTTTAGTTTCCATAGCAATGCCTCTCTCTCTCTCTCTCTCTCTCTCTCTCTCTCTCTCTCTCTCTCTCTCTCTCTTTCTCTCTCTCTCTTTGTTAGTTGCAGTATTTGGATCTTGATGCTTGGTTGTCATGAGGTTCATATGAAATTGTCTATTGTAACTCCAATAGAATAATCAATTGGCTAGATTTCCTTGGTGGTATGAGAATATAAGATTCTTATTTAGGACTGCTTACAGTGGTTGCTCTTCTGAGAATAGCTGATTACTTTGTTACAGAATTGATTCTTATGGATAACATATCTGAAGAAACCCTGAGCCCATATTTTCCTTTTCCTGAACAGTGTCATATTCAAACACACTTTACTGTAACATGCTAAGTAACAACCAAAGTATTAAAAAGCTTGCTTAAAACTCCCCTTTGCTTTTGTGTACTTGCTTCCCATCTGTCAGAGTGTGCCTCTTTCCAGGCAATGTAGTCCATTACTGTGCCTGCAGATTTTCTTGCTTCCTTTCTCCCTTTCCCCAATGACAGTTCAGCTCTTTCTTCACTGTGTGATTTCCTTTGCCCATCTGGCTTCTGTCAGTTTTCATATTGGCTCTTTATTCCATCTTTTTGCACAATGTATAGCCTGAGCTGATTTTCAGAGTGATAAAAATGAATGAACCCATGAGAAAAAGGTGTGGATGAGGTTGGGAATATTTAGTTATTTGACATCTAAAATACAGCAGCATACCTCCCATTGTAGAAATATATATGTCTTTAATAACATAGAAGATAAAATTTATGTGACCATTTACATTTGGAGGTAATAGTTTCTTTTTTCAATTTTTTCTTCAATGTCCATGTATGTATACTATTTTATTTTCTCTGGCATTGAGATTGATTCTAAGGTTTTTCCCAAACTAGACAAGTGATTTACCTCTGACTTTCAGTTCTCAGTCTTGATTTTGTGTTCTCAGATAAAATCTTCAAAGCATTTTCACCTTTTTTTTCCAGAATGAAGAGAAGAGCTTTACATGGCCATTTTTAGATTTCTGGTATTGAGTCATTTAATTTTGTTCATTTATAGCTTCTGGGTGTTTGTGGTTTTAATTATTTAATCTAATAAATTTATATGCAAAATTATGCATTTAAAGTATTTACTGCCTCTTAACATGGTTAAATTTACTGTTGTCTCAATTTATTTATTACCTCTTCAAAAATTATTATCTTCTCAAATCTAGGATGCATGCCTGATGTTCAAAAGTATCCATAATGCATGCTAACTATCATTTAACCATAGGGTATTCTGCAAGAAAAGCGTACTTTCAAATTACAATCTGTAGCGTGTTCTTTGAAAAAGGCTATGATAGTGTATACATGAGGAACATGTATCAAAAATGCATTTTCAAAATTCATATTATATTCCTGTATTCAAAACCTGGAATTCTGCTGACTTATGCTTGGATGAAGATAACATTTCCAAGTGTGTGTGTGTGTGCGTGCGTGCGTGCATGTGTCAACTATCTGACTTTTATCTTAAATAAAATACTTGAGTTAAGTGTATCAGCTAGGTTTGAATTTCATCAGCCTAAAGACAGTGATTATTACTACACTGTCTTATCTAGATAGGAGCTTGATACTTTAACACACAGTGAGTGATGGCAAGGACAGAGGCTGTCTTGGTTACCATTCAAGTGTTGTGACAAAACACATAACAAGTTTCCTATAAAAGAAAGTATTTAATTTGGGGTCCATGGTGCAGAGGGTTAGTCCATGACCATCATTGGTGGCAAGCATGCGATCAATCAGGAAGGCTTGGTAGCTCAAAGATGAGTAGATGAGTAGCTCAAAGTTCACAATAGACCTAGAAGCACAACTCCGAGAGGGACACTGCGATTGGCATCAGCTTTTGAATCCTCAAAATTCACCCCAGTGACATAGCATCTCCAATAACATCATACTTTCTGATTGTTTTTAAACAGGTCCACCAGCTAGTGCATTCAAATATGTGAGCCTTCAGCGGCCATTCTAATTCAAACATACACAGAGGCTTTCCTGGGAAACCAGTAGATATGTAGAGGTGTGGTTAAGATTTCAAATTTTAATATTACTTTGGCAAAATACCTAAATGTTACAGACTAAACCACTTAAGTATGTTTAGAATCTGGATTCTCCAGTTTTCAGATGCAGAGAGAGACCATGCTTACATTAGGTGGTTGTTTTCACTCAAAGAAGTCAAAGGAATTTTAAAACTTAGGTGTCTATTGGAGGAAATGATTCAGCACATATAAGGTCTTGCCACCAGGCCTGGGACCCACATGGTAGATGGAGCTCCATGACCACAGCTTAATACCCTGGTGTATGCTTGCAGATACACACTTAAATGCCACAGTAGATTTATAAGTTATATTTTGTTGACTTCACCTGTATCTTTGGGAATTGCTCTCTTACTCGATTTTCTTTTTGGTGAGCCAATGAATTCAGTTGTGGTTCCTTACTGGAGAATGAGTGAGAGCTTATTTGCAGAAGCATAGGCAACTTACCAATGGCCACACCACTAAATAAAATGACTTTTCCTCTCCCAGTAACCACTGGCAGCTGGTAGACCTCATTTCCTGTCTAATAACTAACAAGCCTGAATCCTCTCAGGCAGACTGGTAGCATCCAGTGGTCTTTCTGAAGACTGGTTGTGTCTTCATGACTCAGAGATGGTGGGAGTTGTGTGTAGACCCCGCATGCTACAAGAGAATAGATGTATATATGAAGCACACATAGCAAAACTTTTCAAAATCAGAGAACCAAGACACTGTTATAAAAATACCTCTACATTGATGTGCCCAGAAAGCTTAAAACTGATGGAGTGTTTACCACCAAGACCTTTTGAACTGAAAGTACATGTCCAACTCCTGTTAGTATCAGAATCATCTGGAAGGATTTTAAAAGCCTGACATCTATTTCCTGCTATGATTCCTGGAGTATGACCTGAGCATGGTGTTTC